TTTTTCTCCGGTACCGGGAACTGAACTGACGACCTTGCGCTTGCCAGGCAGGCACTTTGCCGCTGAGCTAAATCCCCAGCCCCGAGATTGAGTTTTAATTACTCTGGTAGGCTTGAGCACAAGTCAGGGATGCTAGGTAGCCGGGACACATGAAGCTGGGACTCCAGCAGAAAGCTGATCATTGCTGACGCTGGGTGGTATGTGAGTGAGCGCTCATTACCTTATTACTATATCTTCTGCATATATGAAAAATTCTGTGATAAAAAGGAAATGAAATTTTAAAACTTCTAAATATGCATTATTACACAGCTAAAGTAACAGCTATAACACGCCCCAAAAGAAAAAAAACTCCAAATTAAAGCTCTAAATGGCCTCTAAAGTATTTTTGCTATTTATAGTCAGTTGAAAAATCAAGAATCTACCAGTAAGTACCCATTAAGTTGAATGAAAGGCTATTATCGCCACCTACTGGACATTATAATTGACTACCTGCTATTAAAAGTTTAAGGGAATGTTATAAAACCCTACTGAATAGGTCCTTCCATCGGACCCCAACCATCTAGTTTTTAACAAGACAGTATTAAATGATGCTATCAAATTTGCTTCATTTGTGTTTATAAAGTACACTGGTAGCCAGGCTTGGTGGCACAGGCCTGTCATCCCTGGACCCTGAGAGGCTGAGGCAGGGGGATTGGATGTTCAAAACCAACCTGGGCATCTCAGTGAGACCCTGACTCCAATAAATAAATAATGTAGACAGTCTGGAGATACAGTTCAGTGAGGCCCTGGGTTCAATCCTCAATAACACACACAAACATACACACACACATGCACACACAATACTGGTGATCACCTCATGATTTCCTTATTTGACATGAAATCTCATAGTTACAAACCAGAAAGTCAGAAACTAGTCCTGGCTCTTAAATTTAGTGTATTTTTTCATCTGTCTTACATTACCAATATCTCTTATAACTTGGTGAATAGAATGTTATGGTTTGTGTCTAGATGTCCCCACCAAAGCCTCATACAGTCATGAGAGCTGGCTTTTAAAGTTTGTGACTGATTCATGGTCCAATGCTGGGATTGAGAGTGTGAGTGCTACACCTGCCCTAGGGCAGGTAGCCTGCTTACAATGTAAGGGACAGACAGAGGCTCTAGCTCTCCATCTGTTGCTGCTTTTGCTATCTTCTGCAGCCAAGAATGTTGTCCCTCTGCCATGTACCACCCCACCTTGGATGGTTATGGACTAAATCCTCTGCAAATTGTGAGGACTCCAGCTGATTATGGACTAAATCCTCTGCAAATTGTGAGTTAAGTAAACCTTTCCACCTTCAACTTTGGGTATTAGGTATTTTCTCAGCAACAAAAGTAACTAAGACAGTATACAATGGTGACTCTCAACCCTGGTGCTTCAGAATCACTTGTGGAATTTTAAAATGCAGCTGGTTCCAAGGTCAGAGTTTTAAAAATTATAGTCAGAGATAAAAGAACCATTTTCATATACCTGTGGTCCATAAAATATGGCCCCCTGGGCCAGCATAACCATCATGTGGTTAGAAAATAGAATTTGCAATATTCACCCATGAGACTGGGCAAAGTCCAGCAATTTTGTTTTATACAGATTTGGATGATTTAGATGCAAATTAAAGTTTGAAAATCACTAGTATTGCAATAAAAACTTTTAAGTCTACTTTTTTCAAAATATGATTTAATTTGCTGTTCCTTAAGAAAAGAAAGAATTGCATTAAGAGTAACATACTGCAATTCTATTTTTCTAGACACGTACCATTATAAACACTCAGCAAGGCTCTTGTTAGACAACAGAAAAGTTCTAATGAAGGAATAAAGGGGCTGGGGTTTTAGCTCAGTGGCACAGCGCCTGCCTGGCAAGTGCGAGGTCGTGAGTTCAAAAACAAAACAAAAAAAAACACACACAAAAAAGTGGTTCTAATAAAGGAATAAAAAATCATTTATTCTACAGGTCAGTTAATAAGACCCTGAAATATTCCAAGAGCAAACTGCCACTGACCAGACCTCATGTAAGTCTCACTCCTTATCTGCAAAATGAGAAACCACTCTCCTCATCCAATCACTGTGAGGACAAAACGAGAGGGTACGGAGCAGAAGCAGCAGAAGGCACTCAATGAAAGGAAAGTGCTCTTATTGTTTTGTACTGTTAGAGCTTCGTAAGTAGCCTCCAAATTTTAATTTGTCAGCGAGGGAAGAAAAGCTTAGTGAGATACAGTGCTGTTGTTAGACCTCCAAGGCCGCTAAACTTTCAAAAATAACTTGGGAGACAGACATGAGGCTGCTAACTTTTTCTCCCATATTGGATGTTACTAAAACCTCACCAATAAATTTGCCATCTCTATTGCTTTATAAAAGAAACGTCATTTAAAATATCCCCTTAAAAAGCAGAATATAGTCTCAGAGTAAAGGAAAGCATTCCCAAGAAAGGACAGTTGGCAATCACTTGCCAAAATTATCCTTATTATTTTCTGTTTTGTATCAGTAAATACTTCGCGATCAACATTAGTCTGCAAACTGGCACTTGATAAAAGACTACACCTAACATTTTAGCCTTATTCTTCATCTACGAGAAAAGCTATTCTAGCTACCTCATAGGGATATCCATTCAACAGGCGCTAAAAGCCTATTATGCTATTAAGCAGAAGAATTCAGATCAAATGATGTCAAATGTATGCAAATGGTATCCACACGGCTTTGTGGGTATAATGTAAGCATGAGAATAACATAATGTATTACAAAATATACAAATAAATTCTTGCAAATTGACTCCTAAAAACTCACTCACCCAAATGTTTCACTGGCTGTCATTTTCTATATTCATGGTATTCAGAATTCTCAGAATGATGGCTGGAGATGTAGCTCAGTGGTGGAGGGCTTGTCCAGCATGCACGAGGTCCCACACTCCAGTCCTTGGGTCGGGGGTATCCTTAAAATGAACACTTCCTACATTTTTCTCTCTAGGAAGTAGTCATGACTGTGATGTAACTCATGACTATGCCTTTGTCTGCCTTCTGGGAACTGAAAATGTTACTATTCCCTCAGATGGTTATAGTTCCCAAAGAGTTATTAAGCTAGAAACTGCTGTTATTATCTATCAATATGTAGACGGTGGATACTAAGGAAGATAATGTAACAGAATCTAAAAGGAGGTTCAGACACAGAGAAAAGTTTTTCTCATTTTTGCAACAGTTGTAAGAATTTTTAGTATTAAAATTTACTTTCAAATTGGGCATGGTGACACACACCTGTTATCCCAGCACTGGGAGGCTGAAGCAGGAGGATCACCATGAGTTTTAGGCTAACCTGGGCTACATAGTGAATTCAGGTCCAGCCTGAACTATATAGTGAGCCTGTCTCAAAAAACAGAACATAAAATAAAATTCACTTCAAGTGTAATAAACAAGAAATCACAAGACACCAAGTGTAGAAATTATGCAGTTTTATAAGTTTCTCTGTTGCTTCTTAATCCACTCAAATTAATTTCACAATTAAACACTTTTAGGCAGCTTCTTTATTTTCTTCAGTTTCTACTTTAGGCAGTAATGGATCAATCTTTAATAGTAAACCTTCACTTGTTGAACTACGAAGAAAAGCACGGACCACAAAGGGACCTGGAAAAAAAGACAGAAACCAACTTTGATTTTATTCCACAGATCCCTGAGAAACAAATACAAACATACAATAGGAAACTTCACTGGACTCATATTTTCACTTACAAAGTACTATATTGCCAAATATTTTAAATTATAAAGCAACATAGTTTCATTTCTGGAGTAGGAGACAAACTAGCTATCCTAGAGATTTATCCTTGAAACTACATACTCACTAATAATCCATTTCTTTCTTCTAGAAAATGACCACATGGAATTTATTTTATTGCAAAGTCAACAGTGAAGTGAGCAGGTGGTGATACTTACAACTGATGGAAATACTATGAATATTTATTTAAAGTAGCACAGATGCTAATTTTGTGTTAATAAAATGGTAAAATCCTCTAAAAATTAAAAAGCTTTTCGAAGGAACAATGCTAAGGAGCTTCATTTAAAGAGAATAACTGCACTCCTTAGAGGATTTACTACTCATCAATCCACTCCTGCTATAGTCTCGAAGGATCCTATACTGAAATCAAAGTTCTCCATGAAATGTAAGACTTCATACACATACAATGACTCAGTACTATGACCATATTTAGGGCAAAAGAATTTACAAATGAGCTATTTAATGACCAGCATGCTTAATTCTCTTAAGGTAAAAAATAACATTATTTTTATTACCATAATTATAAAACTAAACCTGACAAATTTCTATCATGATAAACCTATAAGTAAATAATAAACTAAGCACAGTGGACCCCTGGCTTCAACAATCCATGAGAGCCATGTGAGCAAGGAATTTGGATGGCACAGAACACAATACAGGTGCTATACGAGCCTGTATTCTACCCTGCTGCAGTTTCTATGTTGTGATCAACTTTTGGGATTCTTTATGAATCACCCCATTTTAAAAAAGTGACTCTCGTGATATGACAAAAAATAACCTTTCTTTCTAAAATAAAAAGTCAACTGCTAGTGTCAGGAACAAAGTGAATGATGCGGCTTCAAAACGGAATTTCGTAATTGATTTTATATCGCTGTAAGTTTCTATGTAATACCAATTGTAAAGCAATCAGCCTCCCCCAACCTCATTACATTTAATGGTAGAAATAATGTAGACATTTACCAAGAGCTCTGGATATATTCCTTTTAGTAGTGATAAAGTCCCTTTCTAAACACTGTAAATCATTCACAAAGTAATGAGGAATCCTTTGGAAATTAAATTTTATTTCTCTAATTCCTGGAAACAGTGCTGCTTTATACTTGGATGTTAACTGTTTTCTTAATATTTTATCTTTTTAACAGTGATAAATAACTATAAGGAAGTCTACCCTCAGCAAACCACTTACCCAGATTCAGTGGTCTGTGCCTGCAGACTTCATTAATAACAGTCTGCAGGTTCGCAGTTATCTGGTCACTTGACATATCCAACTGAAAGGAAAGGATATGTATTACATTAACAATGGAGAAGTAAAAAGATAACACAGTTTGGGTAACATCAGTATTTACTGTAGAATCTAGCTGATGTTTTTCAAATATTCACTTGGACTAGGGATATCAGCCAGTGGTAGAGCACTTGCCTACCATATGTAAAGCCCTAGGTTTGATCTTTAGTGCTATAAGAAAAAGAAAAAGATTAAATAAACCAACCTTCTCTAATGTAATTACCTATTATGAGACCCTATTATGAATGTGGAAAAACAAAACAAAACCTCTTTAACGCTTCCTTTAGAATGATACATTTTATATGAGGGATACTGGCACACACCTGTAGTTCCACCTACTTGGGAGGCTGAGGTAGGAGGATCACAAGTTTAACACCAGCCTATGCAACCTGGCAAGACCCTTCTCAAAATAAATTTTTTTAAAAGAAGTAGGAATGTAATTCAGTGATAAAGCACATACCTGGCACATATGAGACTCTGGGTTCAATCCCAGGTTACTTACACTTACACACATGCACACACACACACACACACAGAGCTACGTTTATATCTCCTTATATGTCAAGATTTAACTGCCATATAGAACGTATTATATCCAAATGTTCTGAAGTTTTCCACTTGAGGGTCCTTGATTTCCAAGTACTTTCTCCAAGGTATATTTTCAATACATACACTATTTCCCATCCCTAAGGAATTAGCAATATTTTCTCTTAAAGCTATTTGTTGATTCACGTACAAACATTTAGAAAATAATGCTTTTATGAGTCCAAAACAAAAGTACTTGACTGCATACATTTAGATGATACATATTTTATAGAGACATTTTCAGGAAAATAATGCTTTTATGAGTCCAGAACAAAAGTACTTCACTACAGACATTTTGATGATACATCCTTTACAGAGACATTTTCAGGATGGAAAAACATTCCAGTTTTTCAGCACTCTATCTAGGCTACATCAATTATCTTCTTAGTTAGCAAAAAACAGTGTATACAGTGAAGCAGTCCTATTCATAAAAAACCCTAAACCCAACTTCTAGTACCCTTGAAAAGTCTTTGTGTGTATTAATCAAAATCAATGAGTTTTATTCTTAAATATACCACATAAAATCAATTATATTCAGCTGTTAACAGAATTTTGCCTTTGGCCAAATAAATCAATCTCTAACAATTCATACAAAGCTTCTAATTAACTGACCAAAAAACATACAGGAAAAGCCCAAGTCCAAACAAGATTTCCATTTTCTAATGATTCTGAAAGCACTGTGAGAAATGTGCTACAGAAGCATAAAGAGAATTCCTCCTGATCTAGATTATTCTCTCATCATAATCAAACAGCATTTGACACACACTTGGGCTAATGCAGTACCAAGCTCAGTGAGAAAGTCAGGACATTACTGGAAGAATTCTCACTTTATGCCAATCCGCAAGAGGGAGTTCTGAGAGGGGAAAAAAACTCAAAGCCATTCCTAGTTCATTTTATTAAGTTCACAGACTTTGGAGACTTTACTGTGCAATGAAGCAAGTAGTTCACGTGGCGGAAAAGACACCATACATATTTTATGTTAAAAAGGAAAAAAGAAAAGGCCTAGGGATGCCCTTGTCTTCTTTCAGTGTTCTCTTAATTTTCCACTTTACCTTACGTTATCCTTCTTTCAACTGCCAACTGAAGCGACCATCACAGACAGTTCCAATAAATTTCTTTGGCCTTTGCTAAAGAACTGCGGGGCTGAGGACAGAACGCAGGGGTAGAGCGCTTGCCTAGCTTGTCCTGTGCCCTGGGTTCAGTCCCCTGTTGGGGTGGGGGGTATTAGAGCAAAGGTAAATGTAGAAAGTAGATAGAAGAAAAAAAAAATATGTCCAACTTGACATATTTGGTAAAGTTATATTATACTTCAGATACAGAACTTCTCAGGTTTTAAAAACTATACATTCTGTGGCATTTATTGCCATTCCTACAATAAGCCAAAAATAACAAATGCTTCAGAAATGTGAAACATTTATTTCCTTGCAACTTTCAGGGCCACCATAAGCTCTGCCTCTGAGCTGTACTCACACACCCTTAATTTAAGTTTTAACAAATACAAAAATATTTTTAAAATAGTTCACACCTTTGTCCAAATTTCAGCACCTCTAACCTTTAGTACTGTGCACACTACTGAATTCTTAAACATATTTATAACCACAGTATTTTACCCTTTTGTTTAAATGCTGTCCAAAATTATGGAATTACTTTATTTCATTGGCAACTGGTGACAATCAGTATTGACATTACATTTAAAAATAACACACGTGTGTGCTGGTTTTATTAAAACGTGGCCCGGAGATGTGTCTGGGTTGAGCACACTTCAGGAAAGCAGCACCTGCAAGCCTCGCTCCCTGTGTGTCGGTTACTCGCACTTCCACCGTGCTGTCCTGTGGAAGAACACCTTGTAGTCTCACGAAAGCTGGAATGACTTGGTTTTTTTTTTTTAAAGGCAAGGATATTATCTGTTTGAGTCTCAAAAACAGTGTATATGACTTGGTACAAAAGGAAAAAAAAGCAAAGATTGGATTGACCTGAACCCCTTCAGTGAACTCTGTCTGCTAAATGCTGCATTTGAATGTACAGTACAACAGTCACAGTAGTATTTACATTTGGCTAAAGTGATTGTCCACTGCAGTGTAGAATACTTATTTTCCTCATCCTATAGCCCAGGTGCTTTGAAGAAAAGACTGCTTTTTACTGACTGCTACATTCTGCTTAATACCCTAAGTAGAAGATTTTATGAAAGATGTCAAGGATAGTAACTCAGTGGATACAGATGGACTGTGCCTCTGGGTTTTTGTTGTTGTTTTTTTTGCCTCCACTCACAGATCAATCCCTTTCCACGTAATTCTTAACTTTTGTCTTCAGTAACATTTTTTAGCATTAGAAAGTCAAAAATCAGTCATCTTAACCATTTTTGTCCCTTTGAGATGCATGTTATGTTTCATCTCAGAGCAAAATGTAGTCACCAACATATCTAAGTCATTAATTCTTAGGCCAATAAAACTTGGCTCCAGAAAAATGCACACAGAGAGATAAAAAATTTAGTGTGTTTTCAGAATCTACACAGATTCTCTGACTTAAAACAAAGGTGAAGAAGAAAGGAAGTCTCCTGAGGAAAAGTGCCTTGGTTAAAAAGGGTTTCAGGCCCACACTCTGAGAACCACCAGTACAGAGTAAGTTGTAAATTTGTTCAATTACTTGGAGGACCATAAATTAGTGTTTAAAAGAAACAAAAAAAGAAAAGATTTTTACATTTTATAAAGGACAAAACTAACAATAATAAAAACTAAAGAGGACGTATTAATGACTTTTAACCAATAAAGTGGTAAGCTTCTGTCACTGTAATGTCCTAATAGTCTTTAGATGGCCAATCTTCTCTCACTGAAAACTCCTGCTTTGAATAAGCACTGGTTGATCCGTTTGGCTTCCAAAACTCCTCCCAAATGCAATACTCTAAGATTACATAAAGGGTAGTCTAGCAGTTTCTGAATATGGGCCACTACTCTTACTTAACCCCAAGAAAAGAAGGTAATCTGCATTTTTCCTACAGAACATTAAATAGTAATAGTAATAACTGATTGTCCAACTCCATGTCCATGTCAAGCTCTGGTCTAATATCTACATAAATATTCATTTCTCCAAGAACACCACAAAGTAGGTATTATTATCCATCACTCACAATTAGGAACTGAGATCTAGTAAACTTCACCTTACATACACAGTCAGAAGCGGCCTAGCACCATAGGTGTGAGCTCTCAAGACAGACAAACGTCAATGTGAACTCTACTCCCATCACTCACTAGTTTGTGACCCTGGATACAGCTATAATATATTGCTGATCTTCAAGAAAGATGAACGCAGCTATCTGAAAAACACAAATGAATTTTTTGTAAGCTACCAAGAAGAATAAATAAACTATGTGAGACAATGAAAGGAAAAGAACACTCAAACCATGCTAGGAACTAAAAGCAAAAAGATGAGTAAGATACCAACCTTCATGTCATGGAGCTTACAATCTAGTTTAAAATACAACATGACAGGTACCACTCTAGGTAGATGAGCAACTGCTACAAGGGCACAGAAGTGATGGACTCTGACATGGAGGATTCCATAACAAAGGTGATAATTAAGCTGAGTCTTAAAAGATGAGTTTTAAAGGACACAGAGCATCTTCTAGGCAGAGAGGGACCAGCGTGAGGTCATGTGAAAACGAGGTGGGTGGCGTGAGTAAGAAGTAGCTCTGTATCTACAGAATATGCATAACTGAAGAGAATGGGGTATAAGAGCACATACCTACACTCTCTGCACGATACAGGCCAGGCAGAGGCAGAGGGCAGCCTCTGTGGGAGACAGAGCAGCTGCTCCAAGCAAATGGACTTAGCCATGAAGTAGATGTGGAGGCAGTGTCACCACAACTCCTGATTCGGCAAAAACGGCTAGCACAAAACAAAACCATTATCTGGATCCAACAAAATTAGTCTGGAGGCCAAATTCTGCCTGTAGCTGCCAATTTCTAAGTCTGGTTTTCAGGCTGCACCACTGAAAACAACACGTAGTCCATGGCCATACCACCTTGAACCCACCCAATCTTGTCCGAAAACAGCAGGAAATACTGAACTTGAACCTGCGATAGTGATGTAAGATCAGGCTGCAAAGGGATTTAAATGTAAGGATTAGAATATATCCTGTCAGCAGTCAAACATATTTAATGTTTCTTAGCAGATAAATGGCATATCTGGTCTGTTTTAAAAGGAATCCTAGAGGAAGGGTGTGAAACAGGAATTGGAATAGTTTCTTTGTAAATAGTGAGACAGAAAATATTTTAGGCTTTGCAGTCCAAATGGGCTCAGTTACAACTACTCAACTCTGCTGTTGTAGCACAAAAGAAGCCACAGACAATACATAAAGGCATGCAGCTGTGTTCCCAAAACTTTACTTATAAAAACAGGTAGAGAG